TTTTTTTTTCAAAATACAATTAGAATAAAAAATGCCAACGTGGAAATGAGTTCGTTTTAGTGCTACTGCAACTAGCAAACGTGGTGATTTATTTGCAAGTACTGCTGATTCCTATTAGCTGCCAAAAAATATCAAAAATCATGCAAGTTTTGAGTCCAAAAGTCATTGAATTCAGGCGGAAAACGCGCAAAACACGAGCCGCGATAGTCCCCTTCGCCCAAAACCATGCACAGTATGCAAAGTATGCGCATGTTTATCCTCACAGGGAGCGATTGACCTTGGATATACCACATAGATACGAGATATAACACACTCATTGCCAACCAGCGACAGCCGGCCGCCTCAAACCTTGGCGGCAGTTCGGCTATTGTCTCGCTGCCACCAAACTCTTGCAGCGCTTCCACTTCTCGCAGTCCATGCAAACTAGCGAGAAGAAGCTTCAACTGTTCGCTTCCTTCTTCCCCACCGCTTCCCATTTTCGGCATTTCAACGCCAGAACAATGGTGCAGAACTCGTTTTTTTCGTGAACAATAAGATCCGCATTGAATTGAGTTGGTATGCAGCGTTACTGTGTTTGTATGCGCCTGTGTGTTTGGATTCCGATTATCAATCCCGCACATTAACTGGTCGTCTAACCTGTTCTCAGCGCCTGTCCAGCCGAATCCTGGAGGAGACCGACACCACACCTTTCCCTGCAATGAGTCTCCTGCAGAAATCGGCAGCTCCTTGCATTCTTTGGCTCTACTTCGATATGAAGTTTGTCTTTCAGCGTTTTCGAGAATCATTCTTTCCATTACTATTTGCCATGCTAAGCTGTCTCTATGTAAGACCTTTCGTATACTAGCAAACTTCTCTACAATAGTCACAGTTTTTACAGCGCAGGCCATAGATCGCTGGGAAGTCAGCAAATTAGCGCATATTTGGCCTTACATAGTTACAGCTGAAACCTTCTATATAGGGTTCTAAAGAAAAATTAGGCATTTTATCATAAATCTATGGACAATGCTTGATGCTACCAATCAAG